ACTAGCAGCCATCACACCATGCTGTCAGCAGCCTCACAGTTGGGAGATGCCAGGGACCTCAAGGTGGTGAGGAGCACCCAAAGAACATGGGGGGGGAAACTGGCCCTTCCTGCGTTGGTTTTGGGGGAATGATGAGAGTCCTGGGTGGCAGAGCCAGTCCAGACCATCTGGGGGTGTGCTTGCCATCTCCCAGCCTACTGTGCCGCGTTTGCCTGGTGGCTCCCAAGGACAAGCTGCATCATCTGAGAAGGGAAATTGGCATCACTGTTCCTTAAAAATCTTTAGTTCCTGTCTAAATGGCTTAGGTCTTCTGGTAGTGGTACTGGCCAGGAGGTTCCACTCTCAGTTGTCCTCTCTGCACAGTGAGTTCAGAGAGTGTGACGCTGAGCCCACTCAGCTCTGTGGCAGGTGGAAGGAAGCATTGATCCTTCATCCTTACAGCATCTACTGCTTCTTGCTTCTTGGAAATGACCATCCTCCTTTTGTGCTTGACTAGCTGCCCTGGTGTCCTGTAGGCTCAGATTTGTCCTCCCTAAGCATGTTCTGGTGATCTGCAGAAATAGCTGGCTTTGCTTATTGCAGCTGGTGTTTTTCCAGGGAAGGGAGACTTCCCTCTAAAACAGACCATGCTTCCAGCTCTGGTCTGGAACCTGATGCTTGTGCCACCATTATTTTTTCTTGGAAGCTTGTTGGCTACTTCCATCCTGGCATCCAAACAAATCCAGCCAGCAAACAGGGTTCACTGCCACATGTGGTGTTCAGGGAGCTTTGAGGGTTGGGTTGGAGAAGACTTGATTCCTCTTTGATAATCCTTGCTGACGGTGGTGGTGGTGGTGGGGAAGAGGCACCTTGGGTGCTGCGGCATGAAGGTTTGGAGATGCTCACCAAAGATGCTCATCAACAGGATGGATTTGCTCCATCTGTCTATGGGGATGTGGTGACCAAGTAACAGTATGAAAGCTCCCAAAGCTGAGCCATGCTGTGACATGGGAAGTGTTGCCTGCAGCCTCAAGTGATACTCCCGTGATGCAGTTTTGGTCCCTGTTTGGTCTCCTGGCACACAGCAGCTAAGAGTTTCTGTCCAAGCCTCCTCCTTCACTTTTGACTGTAGGAGTTGTGTTTGTAGGAGTTGAAGGACTCTTCTGGATGGGAAAAATGGGCCACCATGTTGCATAGCTTGTTACCATGGGTTACACTGGAAGCCTGGCACTCTCTCCAATGCATCAGTAGTATCACACTGAGCACTACAAAGTCCTTCATGACAGGGTGCACCTGCACCACGTGATTGTTCACAGCCTCTCTGTCACTGTAGATGGACCACAGATATCTTTGGTGACTGTTCTCTCGGTTTTTGGTGTCCTTGTTGGCTTTTATTGCTCAAAAATGCACTTCTCTTGTATGGTTGACTTTGATTATTGAGAGCAAACCAAAATACTCATAAATATGAGTGGGTGGTCTGGGTGGTTTAGAGGTTGGCATCAAAATAAGTAAAATTTTCTTCTTCTTGTGCCCTCTTCTCTTTCCCCTGTGAGCAAGTTGCTGCTGTGACGTCCCCTTAATGGAGACTGATGCTCAGGGAGCCGCACTGGCACTGCTTTGTGTGCATCTCCCTGTGAGAGCACCCACTGCTGTGCTTCCCTTCACCTGGGATCCTCCCTGCCTTTCCAGCAAGGGCTCTTGTCAAGGGGTAGGTTTTCCATCCCCACCTGGAGCCCCTTCCCCAGGCCCAGCATCTCCCCGAGCTCTCCCTGGATTTGTTTTCCCCATGGAGCAGCGCTGGTGCCGGCTGCCGGTGCCTGGGCTTGGCTGCGTTTCACTCCTCCCCATGGTGGTGGGGAAAGCATGTTCCTTGTGCTGGGAAAACCCCTGCCAGAAACACAAAGGGCTTTCACCAGGGGAGGCAGTGGAGGGCAGGAGGGGAGGCTTCACGGCACCTAACTCTTGCCGAGGGACTGCTGTAGACAAACAGGCTCCCTCCAGCAGCCAGCACCTGGTGGCTGCGTTTGTGCTCAGCAGCTTTTGATCTCAGAGCCTGCCCAGCAAAGAGGGAGAAAGAAATGTTCCTTTTGCAAAGGGGATTTAAGGCCCAGAAGTGTAATTTGCCTGGGGAGTGGTGTGTGTTGGAGCTGGAAACCAGGAAGGTGCAGGGTTTGCTTTGGGGAGCTGGGAAGCTCTGCTGGTTCAGCCTCACCAGCTGGAGGAGATGCAGAAGGTGCTGCTTGAGGGTCTGGGTGCTGCCCAGTGGCTCTCATGCCACCATCTCCCCTGGCTTGCTGGCCTGGCGGAGGGAGCAGGACCCAGGGCCCCCCTGGCCCTCCTGCAGCCACCAGTGGGTGAATCCCCTGACCTTGCTTAGTGGCACTGGGAGATAAGACACACGTGGAGGTGGGGCTGGAAATTAATTCAGGGACTGATCCATCTCTCTCTTCCTCCAGCTTGGCTTTCAGCTTTTTTTGGATCACAGCGAGGCCCTTGCCCTGGGAGATCTGCCCTGGGCCTTTGTGTTTTGCTCTTGAGCTTCAGGCAAGGGAGCAGGAGAGCCACCTCATCACCCCATGGCTGCTGAGCGAGGGCCTGTTTGTTCCAGTGCAGGGTGAAATATGAAATCCCATCAAGCCTCCTCACTTATTAGAGAGATCGCTGCAAGCTGCTTGTTATGCATGGTGGCGTAATGCAGATTACGGATGTGACCAGGCGATAATTAGCAGAGCTGGAACTGTAATTAAACGCTCCTGTGCTGCGCTGTGGTTCCTGTCTCAAAGTGGAAGGGAGTTGAATGGCTTGGAAACCTGCAGCTCCTTGGTGGGCACAGGCAGCTGCTGCTCCAGGGCCATGGAGTGAGCGCTTCCCAGTGTCTGCAGCCCTGTTCAGCTCCTCACAAGCTCCTTCCTTGCTGCAGATTTGGTTGTGATTTGCATAAGAGAGTTTTGAGGAGGGGGGGTTGTTTTCTTTAGCCCCCTTCAAAGGAGCCTCACACCTCCAAGCATCTTTCTTGCCCAGGATCTGCCAAGATGTTCAGGATGAGGTTGCTGTGTTTCCCAGGGGTGGTTTGTATGTGGGGGTGCAGCCCTCCTCTCTGAGCAGCCTTCCTCAAATCCCTATGTGCAGCTGAGGCACTGGCCAGCCTTGGAGGCAGGGAATGGGCTCCTGGAAGACAACTGGTCCTGCTGGTGGGAGCTCGGAGGTGGTGCGAGGGGAAAATTGCAGTCGAGCATGAGCTGTGTGGCTGGCAGAGGGGACCTTGTGGTCTCATCACTGTGCCTGGAGACCACCAGGCTATCTTTAATGTTCAGTGGGCTGAATGTACACTGTCCAGAGAGAGGATAGATGTAGGAGGACAAGTAGAGAGCTGCAGGCAGTAGGTGCCTTGTGTTCTCCTGGTGGAAGAGCAAATCTACTTATCCTGGCAGAGACAAAAGGTCTGAAGAGTTCTCCACAGGGTCACGTTGGCATCCCCTGCCCACAGCCATCCCCACGGCAGATATTATGTCCTCCTTTCTGCTCCTCTGTCTTGAAGTTTGCCTCTTGCAGATGGTGTTTGTGTTGGCGAGGGTGTAGAGAGGCTTTGTGGGGTCAGTAGTTTATGAGGATGATCCAGCCACTCACTGTGGTTGTGGGCACCCTTTGGTGTCTGGCTGACAAGGTGGAACGTGCAAACTTCTGCTAGTGCTACTGCTCTTGCTTAAAGGATGGAAGCATGTGAACAAGGGAGGATCTTGGCAGTTGGTCAGGACCAGAGTGCCAGTTCAGAGTGGGAGTCATGCTGTTTAGAAGCTGTCAGCAGCATTGGCCAAGGAGAGCCAGGGAGTGATGGTGGACTGGTGTCCATGTTCATTCTTGGTGACCAGCAAGCCTGGTCTCTCCAGAGTTAAAATAATCTCTCCTCAGGAGGATATCTCTTGGTGCAGTGCTGGGTGATCTAGAGGGATCTTCCCCTGCTTGAAACCAAAGCCCAGATCATCACCCACTGATGAGTTAATTCATTTCCTCAGCCTGCTTCTCTTTTGGGGTTGCTCAGTATCTTACCAAAAGAGAGAAGGTCTGAGCAGTGTGTGAGCAGCTAGCCCCAAAGCTGCTGCAGATCCTTGTGAGCCAAGGCGAGGGGATGGCTGACTGCAGCTGGCTTGGCTGATAAGCCCTGAAGGACGGGAAGGTCTCCACCCTGCCCTTCCTTTGGCCAGCAGCAAAATGAGCCCATCAGCCATCCTTCTAACTCTGCTCTAATCTGCTAGCGTGGCAGAGCGGCCAAGGACCTTGGCTTGTCAGCAGCAGGGTGGCTTGGCTGTGGTTTCACTTGGCATGTTGATATGCTGGCTTTCCAAGCCTGGCCCTGGCTGTGAGATGTGATTTCCATGCACAAGGAGAACATGATGGCTGGCACTGTTGGCTCAGCCATCAGGTGGATCAGGCTCCCAGGGTGATACTTGTGCAGGGAAGAGGGATGTGATTAGAATCCCTGTGTCTTCAGGTAGTCGCAGGGTAGACTGGGGAGGAGGACCATGTTAGGTTCTGTGAGTGCTGGAGGGAGACCGCTACTTGTTTGTCCTGTCCTGCCAGTTGAGCAGAAGCCTGTGATTTTATTTTTCTTCTTCTAATGAGCCATCAAGTCCAAAGTCATTGCTGGCATTAACATCTGAGGCATAGCCAAAAGGCATCTTCACCAGGGATGGTTACACCATCAAAAACCGTTGGGGAAGGAACTTGGCACAAACTCCTCAAGCAGGACAGCAGATATCTCCTGCGGAGGGACTTTTGGGTGTGATCTACATGACTACAAAGTGCTGGCTCTTCATGGTTGTGTGGGTGTGGGCACGCCAGGGTGGGAGAGACCTGCACCATCCTTGTCCTCTGATGGGGTGTGGGACTTTCACTGCCTGCTGGCACAGGCATTGAGCTGGCAGCCCTGGGTTTGAGATTCTGCAGGAATGTAGATGTCCGTTGATACTTGTTCTCCTTCCTGTATTCCTATCAGTGACTGATGTGTTTCTCCTTCCCCACAGATGGAGTCTCCAGTCTCTACACCTGCAGTCCTGCCCTTGCACCTCCTTGTCCCCGTTGTCAACAACGACATCTCGTCACCTTGCGAGCAGATCATGGTACGGACCCGCTCGGTGGGAGTGAACACCTGCGACGTGGCCCTGGCTACTGAGCCTGAGTGCTTGGGCCCCTGCGAGCCTGGGACCAGCGTGAACCTGGAGGGCATCGTCTGGCAAGAGACAGAGGATGGTAAGTGTCACCAGAGAGCTTTTTGCTGTCATTTTGGAGCTACAGCAATCCCTTCCCTTGTCCCTGCTGTGTTGCTTATTGGCACTTTCCTCCCACTGTCCGGGTGGTCAGGAGAGAGGAGATGTGTGGAAGCAGCAAATCTGTTCAGCAAAGGCAGTAATGGGCCAAAATTTTCATCAGCCCAATGTGGTATTGTCCCCTCACCTAGGCAGCAGGCAAAAATCTAAGCTGCTGTTTCTCAGCCTTGCTCCAAGAGCTAACTCGTCTGGAGGTGCTATAGGAAAGGCTGTGCCAGCCTGCGCGGGAACTCCGCTGAGTTGACTTTGTTTCTGCTTGGCAACCCACATGTCTGTCACAAAACCACTCAAACCCCAGGAGGTGGCAGAAATCTCCTGCTGGATTAAAAAAAACCCAGAGGAGCTTTCAAAATCAACGCAGTGGGAGATCAGGCTCTTGCCTCTCCTGCCAAGCCAATCGAAGCTTTTCTTTTTCCCTGCTGGAGCTTGTCTCATCTGCACACAGCTTGGTTTGTGGAAGGTAAAAAGGACCTTTCCCAGGTCCTTTTTGATGGGTTTTTGTTGGTGTTGAGGCTCTGCCAATAATGTGGGAATGAATAGGTGGCTCAGCAGACCACAGCGAGCACTGAAACCTGGCCTTCTCTCCTTGGAATGCTGGAGCTTTCTGCTTTGTGTCTGGCTTCCCCTGGGGTTTGGAAGCAGAAACAGCCCAGAAGCTTGAAGGTGAGAAAGGAGGAGTCAACTGATGGTTCGTCTGGGCTGGGTAACCAAGAGCTCCTCATAGACATCTTGTTCTTGCTCTTCCATCACTGTTGCGTGTGAGGAACGAAGCTGTTGTCCTGAATTCCCTGGCTGTTCTTCACTGCAGCCATCTTTGTTACTTCCAACAGAAGCTGAACTGAAACCTGCATTCCCCATAGCTGCTACCAGGGGGTTCCCTTCTTCCCCATGCTTTGGGAAGGTGGGGATGGGCTCAGTTTGCCTTTCCTCTCTCCCTATTGGGAAACTGGTTTTGAAACTGTGATTGGTGCTGAACTGAGTGCTGCACTGGCTCCTAATGTGGAGGTGGTGAGCCCTGAAGTTGTTCCTATTGAGAAAAGCATCATGACCTGAGCTACTTGGGAAGAGAGGAGTGCATGGACTGCTGGGGGAGACTGGGATGTGATTCTTTGGTTTGGGGACTTCCAGGTATCTTGCACTCCTCTGCCCCCTCTTCTCCACCATCCGTCCAGTATGAACAAACTCATCCAGGCTGAGACAGCTGAGAACTGTAAATGTTTTTTCTATTCTGCTCTAAGGGCAGGAAGGAGCCATACATAAAATTAGGCCCAAGGAACCTCTTCTTTGAGCTGGGCTTGCAGGTGGGGACAAGGATACACAGTGCAGGGGCCTGGTTCTGCACACCCTGGGGCTGGGGGATCTTCTTAGAGAAAACATGCCCAGAGTCGTCTGATGAACTACCTGTGCACCAGCACAGCTCCCTTGGTGTCTGTGAAGAGCTCAATTGCTTTACAGGGTGTGATGCCTTCTGCTGGGGAAATGGAGGCTTGGCTGGGCTGAGTGATGGGACATCCATCAGCGCTGAGGAGCATCAACACCCCTTGCTTTTGGGTCTGGATGGTAATCCTTTCCATCCCCACCAGACTGCCCTTCTGGTGGGATTTCTGTCAACCCCAAAGCCTTGGAGCTGCAAAGTTTGATGCAAGTCCCAGGACTGCTGGAGATCCCATAGGCAACAGCAAAGATAAGAGCTTGGCCTCTTTTTTTGGTGGAAATCAGAAGAGGCTTGTGGTGGGCAGAGCAGCCCAAGTGGCTGTGCCGGGAGAAACAAACAGAGCATCCCTGAGGCAGAGAGCACCAGGGCATCCCCTGCCCGTGCAGTCCTGCCTGAGAAGCAGTGATGTATGAGCACTTTCTTGTTCTCCTCCCTTTTTTCCTGCTTCTCACCACACCACGAAGCTCTGCAGCCCATCTGCCTGTCCGTCCACATTACCCCCTGCTCCACAAACCAAGTCAGCACTGGCTCACAGGCACCCCTGGCCTCCCGCAGCCTGGCTATTTTTAGTCTGCAGTGACTCGATGAACTCCTGTGAAGATCCTTCTCTACTGGCTGCTAGTTGGTTCCTACTGTTGGGAGTGGTGACTTGTAGAGCCAGCCCTGCAGAAGACAAATCCTGCCGTTGCCTTTGGTTGCCTCTAGTCTGCTGTGCCTGTTGGTTCCTGTTGTAGCAGTGTTTCTTGTCCTCGAGAAAAAGGTCAGATGAAACCATCCGTTGTTTCCTGCCTGGTGTCTCTCTCCTGCCTTCCCATCATTAATGAGGGGGTATGCTGGAGGAGATACTGGACCAGGCTGTCCAAGCTGGAGCTTGTGAAATGTATAGAGCTGAAGGATAGAGGGGAGAAAGCAACACCAAGGGCAAGTCTACAAATTTACACAAGGTGCTTTTGACACCAGTGAGGCTGCCTTTGTGGCTGGAGACCATCCCCAAGAACTCCAGAGGGATCCTTCACCAAGAGGGATCCTTCTCTGCCTGCACTTCTTGTGGTGCTGCAGCCTCACTGGACCACTCAGAAAGGCCCCAGGGCAGCCAGGGCAGTGGGAGGACTTATCTCTGTGGAGCTGGTGGATCCCTCCTGCTCCCAGAGGGTTAATGAGTGGAAGGGCTTAATTGCAAGAGATTTGGTGAAGCAGTTGGCAAAGCCAAGGGGGATCCATGTTACTCTCTCCTTGCCAGCAAAAGCCTCTTTGGGCTCAGGCAGCTGCAGAACTTCCCTTCCTGCAGGGCTGGTAGAGGAAGGTGTCACAAGCTGGTACTGGGGGGCTACTGGCTGTCAGGATGCTTTTGCAACTTTTTGTTTAGACTTACGTGGGGAAGAAAAGAACAGTTTCCCACAGAAGGCAATGTCACTCTTCAACCAGAGCTCCCTTTATGGAGGAAACAGCTTTTGGGTTGTCCCTGGGGGTGAGAAATCATGGAGAAAGGCTCCTAAAGCCAAAGCCTGGCAATGCTGAAGCAACCTCGGGAGGAGAAGCCGGAACTGACCCATCTAAGCTGGAAGGGTGAAGCTCCAAGGAGCCCCATAACATCCCTCGTACCTCAAACGTTGCTTCCTTCTCTCTCCCAGTTTGAAAACCTGCTGCAACACCATGATGGCCACCAAAGGCATCCTGGTGGACTCCCACTACAAGTGTCTGGTGCAAGGCTTGTGGTCTGTCTGCTCCACCGCCACTCCAGGTTTTCAGAATGAGGTTTGCTCTTGCCAGTGGTGGGTGGGCACCAGTTGTGCATGCTCTGCTGTGACACTGTCCCTTCACCAAGCCCCTCTTGTGCTGGAAAGGTATTTTTTGGAATGCCTTTGGGTGGGAGCAGCTGGCTCGGCAGGTCTGCCTCATTCTGTGAGGTGTGATTTGAATCTGCAGGAGCTATTAACTACTGGGCTTATGTGGGAAAGCATTGCTCTGTTTGCTGCTTCCTTAGCTGCTGGGTCTCCTCGATCTCCCTTGCTGGAGCTGGTGTAATCAGGCTTGCAGCAAACAGAGTGGGGCCTGTGCTGTTGGCTGCCAAAACAAGCTGGTGTCTGACATTCAGACCCTCCAAGCAATGAGGATCATGGTGTGGCACCAAGAAAATGGTAACAACCTCCTTCTGCCCACCTTGCTCCAGCTTCACACTGGCATGGTGGTGGCAGTCACCCAGTTGCTCTCCAGGCATTTCCAGTTGACTGGTTCAAACATCTCCTGGAGGGTTGACTGAGCATGCATGTCCTTGGGGTCTGCAGATGCCGACAGGGAGACACCTTCACTTGGAGCAGGAGAGAGATGTGTTAGGTTGGGAGAGGATTGGGAAGGTTTGGAGGATGAGGGCAAAGCCTGGAAAGTTTTATCATAACTATGAGGAAGCCTGACCCCAGATTTGACAGCTTTGTACATTGAAGGTGCTGTCTCGCCCTTACCTGTGGCCTTCAGTTGTGCCTCTGGTTGCTTTTTGCCCCAGGGATGTTTTAAAAGAGGGATGTGCCAAGATTGTGCTGCTTATGGGTGGGCTTTGCGGCTTCAGAAGGGCTGCACAGTCACCTACAGACATGCTCTGGTCTTCATAGCCATGAGTTCTCTAACCCAGACACAGGGGTGGCATTTTTAAGGCTGATGCAGCAGGGGTGAGGAGCAGGAATCTGGATTTGTTGTTGGCTTTAATGGCATTTTCCAAAGTAACAAGCAGTTGTAAATCCTCTCCAAGGTTGCTGAGCTCAGTGTGCTGCTCCGAAGCCTCCTAAAGCCCTGACAGCATGGCTCTGGCTGCTGTCATCTCCACGCCAGGGATCCAGCAGCTTGTTCTGCTTGGGGCCATCATCTGGTGCTGCTTGGTGGTGGGACATCTTGTCTCGGCCCTGCGAGGGTTGCTGGTGTGTTGGGCTGCTGCCGTGCACTCTTCTCCCATGTCACCAATATGAGGAGGCTGCAGACCCCCCTGAACATGGTAGCTGCTTGTGTGCCAGCCTAGAGGAGCTTTATGGTCCAAAAGTTGGACATGAGCAAACAATGTACACTAGCAGCCCAGAGATCCACGGTGGAGCAGATATCGGCCCTGCAGCCTGTGGAGGACCTTATACCACAGGAGGTGGATGTGCCCTGAAGAAAGTTATGACCCTGTGGAGAGATGTGACTCTGCATTAGAGCAGACTCTTGGCAGGAGCTGTTGCCTGTGGAGAGGAGCCTACATAGGAGCAGGTTTCTTGGTAGGACTTGTGACCCTGTTGGGGACCCATGCTGAAGCAGTCTGTTCTTGAAGGACTGCAGCCCATGAGAAGGACCCATATTGGAGAATTTCCTGGAGAAGTGCCTCCTGCAGGTGGAACCCCACACTGGAGCCTGGGAAGAAGGCAAGGAGGAAGGAGCAGCTGAACCCTGTGTTGAAGTGGCTGTGCATGGGTCTGAGAGCATTCCTGCTCGTCATGGGAGCTGGCACTCTCATTTCTTGACAGGGTTTGGAGATGTTTGTGGTTGGGCTTGGGGACTTCATCTTTGCAAAGGGGGCACATGTTTTGTCCCTCTGATGTGATGGCACCTGGTGCCCACATCCCCAGTCATGGAAGAGCAGCACCCCAGCAGGGACTATCCATTGGAAAGTCTTCGTCTGGTTGGGATGGAGGACTTCATGCAGCATTATCCTTGTCTATCCCACGTCCCCACCAGCTGGGTGCACCCACCAGGGACCATACAAGGACCAGGCGGTGTTTTTTTTCCATCCCCCAGCTCTCTTCATCCCTTAATCCTGTAAAAATGGATAATCTCCTACTCTGTCTTCCTAGACAGCAACCCTCAGTTTTTCCTGCTGGGATATGACTCCATGGTGACATGAATGCTTGGTGGCCTGAATGCTGAGCAGATTTGGGTGGTGTCAATTGCTTAAGAACATCCAAAGCATCACCTTCCCATAAAACCAAGTGGAGCTGGAGTTATCCAAGTGGCATTCCTCCTTTGCAGGAGCATCTCCAGGAGGATATGTGGGCGTTGCCTCTTCACTGCCTGCCCTTGCCCTGCCCCTTGCCTGCTCATCATCCTGCCGCGGGAGGGGGACACAGCGGGTGAAGAAAGCTGCTTAGAATCTATCCCTGGGGTTTAAATTGTCCTGGGTTATTGTTGGAGGATTAGGAGGGGATTTGGTATGATTGGTCGTGGTGGGTTAAATATAGGCTGGTGTGTGGGGGAGGGTTGATATTCCAACAGGGAAGGGAGGGATGGATGCACCTCAGTTCACGTTGCCCCTTCATCTTTCATCTCCCTCCTGTGGTCACAGTGGTGGGAAAGAAAAAAATAAATGCTAGCACATCCTTTCCAATGTTGTGCGCTGGCCCTGGGATGCACAAGAGCCTCCAGGGGAGGCTTCCAGCCACCTGTGGTCTTGGCCAGCTTCAGAGAAGGGTTGAGTCAGTGCTGGCTGCAAGACAGGGAGGGCAGAGGGAGCTGGGAAGGATGAGCTGGTCCCTGGGATGAGGTCTATGTTGGGGCTGCTAGTCCCTCAGCAATGCTCAGTCTTCCTCAGGATCTTGGGAGCATCCTGTGGAGGTGCCCTTGAGATGCTGGGTTTGAGCTGGGATGCATCCAGTAGCTTCCCTGGGTTTTAAGGAGGGGAGACAGGCTCCTGCCTGCCAAAAAAAGCTGTTAGGAGTCATGGGGGTTGAAGAACACCCTCTGCACACTCTCCTTGGGATGCCTGGGATCAGCATCCCACTCTCTCCCTGTGTGGAACTGTGGGATCCCAGCAGTTGGGTTTTACCACCTGTTTCCACCCCATGTTGTCTCTGGCATCATGTCCAGGTCACACCCCTGTTAAGGCAGGTCCCCAGCACCATCCTCTGAGGGCAGGACGTGGTCTCTCCTCCTGCTTATTGGGACAAGCTGGCTGTAGTTTGGCACTGTTATCTTCCCATGACCCTGTCACAGCACCCAGCGTTTCCCAAGAGGAAAAGAGGAAGGAGAAGACTTTCAATGGTCTTTCTGAAGTAGACCCATGTGTCAGACCCTGGCTCTGTATATCCTCCCTGGAGCTGGCCTGGCACTGCAGGGGATCTGAGCTGAGATATCTAACTGTGCTTCAGGCACAGCTGCTCTGGGCTCTCTTGGCTCCATCCATCATCACCTGGATATCTCACCGTGCTCATCAACCCTTGCAACTGAGTTTCCTATCTCCTGAGTTTTAGCTTGATCAGGTAAATGTGCTTGGTGCTGTGCAGTCTGCTCCTGGTCAGAATTAGTTCTGTGGTCCTCAGAACACCTCCAAGAAGAGGTGCTGAGAGGTCATGTCCTTGGCCTGGGTGTGAGCCAGGCTGCTTCACTTCTTAAATTTGGGTAAAAAAGCTGAAACCACCAGGTTTTCCCAGTTCCCAATGCCTTTTCTCTGTGATGGGAGGAGGAGATGTGACCCCATAGGTGGGTCTCCAGGCTGATGGGTGTCCTGGGGTGTGCTGGAGCAAAGTACAACAGGGAGGACGAGGGTTGTTCCCCCGAGGAGTTTTCCTCGGGGTTTTCCTGCCAGGAGTGGTCGCGGAGCCGTGGATGCTGGGCTCAGCTTGCCATCTAGTGGCAGTGACTGCCTCTTCTGGAGGGCTCTGGGGGTACATGGCCATGCACGGGGTGAGGGGGGGTTATAGCCCTGCTGGGGGGGCTGCACCTCTGCCTTGGGGTCCATGGCCTTGCTGAGAGCTCTCTGCATCACCCCCTGGAGAGGGCCCCTAGCCCTTTGTTCCCCACAGATAGTCTTCCCTGCCCTACTCGAGCACATGTGGATCTTCAGCCACACCTAAGCCCTGCAGCCCTTTGGGGGTTGCTGGTTTTAGCATCCCCATGAAAACGGGGAAGACCATTGGGTGACTCAAGGGGGAAAGGTTGGGTGGATGCTGGCCAGAGCTGTGCCAAGGAGGGATGAGCCCAGGGTTCTCTAGCTCCCATCTTGGTGCCCCTCTAGCCCCAGAGTCCAGGTACTGCCTCTCCCAAGAGCCCAAGATGCCTTGTCTGCCTTCCCTGGCCCTGGAGCTCGCCTTTTCCTCTGGTCTGTCTTGAGGGGTAGATCCCTCTGTCCTGATGCCCAGGGAAGGGTCATGTCTGGCTGTGTCTGACTCTCTGCCCTCACCTTACAGGTATGCTGGTGGTCAACGTCACCTGGAGGAACAAGACATACGTGGGGACGCTGCTGGACTGCACGCAGCACGACTGGGCCCCTCCCCGGTAAGCAAGTGGGCGGGTCCAGGCACAGAGGGCAAACCTGGCCACCTACAGCCCTCATGGCACCCAGTGTGCTCTGCCCTGTGCTGTGGGGAGTCAGCATCTCCTTGCCCAGCCAAGCTGCTCCCCTTGCTCTTTGCCTCTACAGTCACAGGTTCCCTTGTCCTGCAGGCTGGAGATGGTTGAGCATTTGCCATGAACCTCTCCAGTTCCTCTTTACTGGTCACTGGGGGGGACAAGGCTGCAGGATTGACAGCAAGGGGAGGAAGTTGGTCCCCACTGCGCAGTGGGGACAACGTAGCCTGGCATGGCCTTATGTCCATTGAAACCTGCCTGTCCTCTTGCCTGCAGGTTCTGCGACTCTCCCACCAGTGACCTGGAGATGCGCAATGGGCGGGGCAGGGGCAAACGCATGCGCCCCAACAGCAACACGCCTGTCAACGAGACGGCTGCCACCTCCGAGAGCAAAGGGACCAGCAACAGCAGCAAGACACGGGCAGGAGCCAACAGCAAAGGGCGCCGGGGAAGCCAGAATTCCTCGGACCACCGCACGCCGCCCGGCAGCACGGCAGAGGACGTGAAGGCCAGTCCCTCCTCCGTCACCAAGCGGAAGAGCAAACCCCTGTCTGACATGGAGCTGAACTCCAGCTCAGAGGACTCCAAGGGCAGCAAACGCATCCGCACGAACTCGATGGGCTCGGCAGCGGTGGCCCCTGCT